GTATGTTTCCCCTTCCCGTTTAAGTTGTTCGCTGCCCTGAGTCCCTTTAGGGAATAGAGCGGCATGTAAATAAAATAAAACTTAAACTTAAACTTGTGGGTGTGCGGGCAAGATCTTGAACTTTCAACTGGGAGGGGAAAACCAGGAAGCTTTCAGATTTGGGTTTTCTCAGATGTGCCAACATGGCTCTCTTCATAAATTGGAACTTTGAGGAATCCTTTGCCTGGGACTCTGATTTAATTTTGGATGCTATTTGGATCCCCGACAGCCATACAAAAAGGGGACTGAAGCTGGTATGATGTGGTCTTCTTGGCCCTCATCCAGCCCTTAAGAGACCCCTGGTTACAAACATGCAAAAAAAGGCACATCAAACATGTGCGATATAAGATCACGGCATTACACTGTGCGCATGACTCAGTTTACTGGTTGTTCCTCGACTATCGTACCAATTCACGTTTTTGCCCCACCCATCTGTTTCCACAAAGACTCCCTAAGCATTAACTTAACCACCTTTTGTGGATAAATAAGTAATAATAAAAAGTAAGTAATTAATAAAAGCAAATTAATTGCACAAGTGTGCAAATGCCCTTGTGATGCCTTACCTCCTGCAGCAACGTAGTTTCGTACTCCTGAAGTTGTTTCTGAAACCCAAAGTTGGGGCTCACATAGGAACGGACAGCTTTGGCAGCGGCCAAACATTCTTTCCAGCCAAAGTGGGTTACCGTCATCAGATAGGCCACCAAAATTGTGGTGCTGCGAGAAACTCCCGCTAAGCTGTGTTGACGGAAGGGAGAAGCAACGGTCTTCAGTTTACCTTCGACATGGAAAATATGTCAGGTCTGCAAGCCATCTTTTCTTTTGGACTTCAGGCCTGCCACACTTTCTACTATTCATTTTCTATTGTGGGAAAATGGGGGGGTGGGAAATTATACGGAGTTGGATGATATGTAGCCATAACAACATTCTTCTTAGAAAGCCAAGGTCATCTTTGTCTTTGCACCTGGCTGGAACTGGATGGGTAGAATCTGTCATCGTCGCAGTGGAAGATTGGACCATGTGATGGACTTGTGGGTGTGGGGGCAGGATCTTGAACNCAATCCAAGAAGTCTTAAGTTAGAATGTCATGAGCCTTAGAGAACCGGAATTAAAGTGTGGGTACGGGTCACACAAACCGCATTTAAACAGCGATCTAGAATATCTCCCTGCAAATTCTTGGTTAGAATTTTGCGTTCTAAATTTCAGCGTTAGGGGGAGGTTTCTAATTTGGGCTTCTCAAGCCGGTGAGCCATTTTTTTGAAGCCGTGGCCACAATTTCCTTTTGAAGGCTGTCACAAAATAGCAACCACAGTCCAATGAAGAAGTCTACAGGAAGACCTCCTCTCCCTGTAAGATCATTCACGAGTCGGCCCCCGTGCAGGACGCATAAATATAGGAGAACAGCAGCTTCTACGTTCTTCGGGGCCAGGAAGAAGATCAGAGCAGAAATGTCCCCAAGTGGCTTCTAGATCAGCCTTCTTCAACCTCAACCACTTTCCGACGTGGGGACTTCAACTCCCAGAACGCCCCAGCCGGGGGAATTCTGGGAATTGAAATCCACACATCGGAAAGTGGTTGAGTTGAGAAACCTTGTTCAAGACAGATGCTGATTGCACCATCGCTTGGTCTCCCTGCCATGGGGAGGCATGCCCATCTGTGTCCTCCCCTTCCGTCTCTTCTCCCTCCTTCTTCTGCCTCCATTTCTCCTTCTGAAGCCCCTACTTCAGGAGTAAAAAAGCTACCCATGGAGACTTTGCAGAAGGCCATGACAAGGGATGACAGCTCATCCGACTTCAGAGTGGGGCGGGGGGAGCCCAAAGCTGCAAGAACCAACCCAAATCAAGCAAAGATAAATAAATTTCAATCAATCAATCAATCAATCAATCAAAGATGGCAACTAGGAGATCAAAAGAAAAGGTCCCGTCCCAAAACAACAGAGAAGATGTCCAAGGTCCTGAATGTCCAGGAGAAAGGGGACCTTCTCTGGATGCGAAGAACCTTGGATCTGGAAGCCTATCTTCCTTCCAGGAGGAGACCCAAACAAGCTACTAAGCTGGCAAGACCTGCCTAGTGTCCACCCTCCTCCATGGAAGTCCTCTCCTCCCCCCTCTCCTCCAGCTGACCTGCTCCACATCTGGACTGCGCCGGCTGCAGCAAGGTGAGTAGCTCTCCCGGGATACGCGCACCGCCCGCAAAGTTAGCCCGAAACTCGAAAACTTTTGAGTAGTTTTTATACCCCGGCCGAGCGGAGGGGGTCGGCCCCGCGGGTCGCTCAGCCAATGGCGAGCTAGAGCGGGAGGCAGGCTGGCCAATGGGAGGGGAAGCATGCCCAGGGGTTTCTTGCCACTGGAGCCGTTTCAGAGAAATCAGCGGGGCGGGCGCGTCATTCTCTCCCGCCAGGTGGGAGTCTTCCTGGCCGTGCCCCGGTCGTTGAACTGCCCGTCCGGGGGTGGAGGGAACTCTTGGGCGCCCGCGAGGCGGAGAGACGGAGGAGTTGTTGGCCAGGAGTATCTGCTTCCCCTTGTCGGAAAACTTTCTTTTTCTGCCTTGCCTTCCTTTCCTTTCCTGTTTCCTTCCTTCCTTTCTTTCATCCCTCTGTCTCTCCCACCCCTCCCTTCCTACCTCCCTTCCATCTCTCTCCCTCTCCACTCCTTACTTCTTCATTCCTTCCTTCCTCCCTTCCATCTCTCTCCCTCTCCACTCCCTACTTCTTCATTCCTTCCTTCCTCCCTTCCATCTCTCTCCCTCTCCACTCCCTACTTCTTCATTCCTTCCTTCCTCCCTTC